TCTCAAACCAACATGGTGACCAAATACACCCCTCAACTACAGCATTTGAGAAGGACATCTCAGGCGCCTGGGACAGAAGTTTCATAAACTGGTTTGACCCAAACCAGCTAAGTCTGATACTACATTCAACCCGGTTTATCTTAAACCAGTTTCAGTCGTTTTGAAACTGGTTGATGTGCATTGAACTTCTGTTGTTAGAGGTTTAAACCCGTTTTTGATGACTTAAACTGGTTCACGTGTAACTTCTGTCCCTAGCCCCAGGGTAGAAATCAGGTAGGACGAGCAGCAGTCAGCACCTATGGGATCACATCCAGCAGGCTTAGCCGTTTTGAAAAGTTTATGCAATTTAGAGAGAACCCTTAGATTATTTTGCTAATTAAAATATTAGTCATAGAAGTCAGAGAGAAGTCGGGCTGGACGGGACCTCCAGAGGTCATCTCGTCCAGCCCTTGCCCGAGGCAGGATCAAACAAACCACGGCCCCACTACAGAGGAAGGCAACGTCCCCCTGCATCTCACCCGGGGAGACATCCCTTCCTCACCACAGACAGCCCTGGCACACTGCCCTCCTCGCCTCCTGCCCACCTCTCCCCCCTTTATTCACTTTTGTGACAGACTTGTGCATAGTTCATATAGAGTTGTGTGTGCAAGAGGCGGGAGTGTGTGTGTCCTTGTGTGGGAGAGTGAAAGAGTACATGTGCAAGGGGGGGGTCGCGTATCTTTGTGTGTGCATATGCAAGGGGGGAGTGTGCATGTGTCTGTGTGCCCGTGTGCAAGAGGAAGTGTGTGCAAGACAGGGGAGTGTGCGTGTCCTTGCGTGCGCGTGTACAATAAGGGGGGGCGTGCGTGTGGCTTTGTGTGCGAGTGTGCAAGAGCACGTGTGCAAGGGGGGACGTGCCCGTGTGTGCGAGCCCTGGCCCGGCCCTACCTACCTGCCGAGCGGCCCTGCCCGGCCCGGTGCCCGAGCCCACAGTCCACCTCTACCTCCGCCTCCGCCTCAGCGCCGCGCGCCGCCGCCGGATTTCAAATTTCAACGGCGCCGCTCTGGGCAATGAAAGGGCAGGAGCTGCGAAAGGCCGCGGTGATGCCTGTCTGAACGGACCAATCAGAAAAAGGCAGAAGGGCGGGGCAGCCGAGCACCCAACCAATAAGGATGTTCCGGATACTGTTAGCAACCAGGGGGTGGGGCGCTGCGTGAAGCACGCTGGGAAATGTAGTTCGCGGGGCCAAGGCCACTGCCCTGCTCTTCTTCCTGGAGTGAGAGTTAACCCTGGAGGAGCAGAAGGAGGCCCTGAACCATGTGATCTCGGGGAAAGCAATGAGAGGCTAACATTACTAGAGGATTAAAGACGAATAAAACCTGCTTGATTTAATATAAATAATTTTTTTCTGCCTTCTTCCAAAGACAAATGTGTCATATTGAATGAACTAGTTTGAATGTTTGTAATGGTTGCCCATTAGCCAGTTTCAGGAAGAAGATAAGATTTATCTCCTTATCTAGATCATTGTTTTGGACTACGTGTGGAAGATCCAGACTTTGCTTAAAGTTTTAACTCTTGAATTTTATCTTTAGAAGTCTTTAACAAAGAGAACCTGAAAATGATCCTTAAAGCAAATATCCTGAGTTCCGAGAGATCAAACCCTAGGGCCTTTTGAAAAGATTGGAAAGAACAGGTCACTTGCAGTGATATGGAAGTTCCCCAAAGTAATTAAAATGGTCAAGAAAGAAACTGATTACCAAGCAAAAGAATCTGTTGAGTAAGATCCGAGCCCAAATTTGGGGGTAATGACAGGTTTGAGTAGGAGTGGCCCAGGATGGTAACTCACTCAATAAAAACTGTAACTTACTCTCCCAAATTGGAGGTGACTATACTTGCAGAACAACGAAAGAAGAATCGCAAGCGTAGACCGGATCAGACTGATCACCTGAACCACCCTCTCCGTGAACACGAATCTCTTAGTTCACACTGAAGCCACAGAGCGCCCGAAAGGGACTGAAAGAAGGGGACTTAGTCCTATCAGTATTGAGGCCAGCCCATTGAATCGTATTGCTGAGGCCAGCCCATTGAATCATATTGCTGAGGCCAGCCCATTAAATTGTACTACTGAGGAATGAAACCATATTTAGGTGTTTGGCTTCTCGGAATTCTAGGATTGTAAGTATATTATGCAAATAATAGTATTGATTCAAATTTAACTTTTAGTTGTAATTGTAGTTGTTTTTGTAATACTAATTCTTATAGCATTGTTTGGGAAGGAAGTGCATTCGGAGCATTGTTTCTGATACATGTAATTATTGTGTTCTTAATGTTTGTGGTATTTCTTAAAGCTAAGCAGTATTATATGCGTAGCAAAGAATTTTAAAATAAAATTATGTTGTATGAATTAAGTGTGTAATCATTGTGAAATCGTGTAATCAATACTTCCCCAGCCAGTGCATCAAAACGAATCAGTAAATTGTGTGGGATTTTCTCTATTCCATAACCCACTAGAGACAAAATGCTGCAATGTTTCCTGTAGGGTGCTGGACGGGCCCCATGGCTTTCTGTCTCAGGCAATACAAAATATTGTTTTAATGTAACGTCATTTTCCAAATCATGATCTTGCCTCTTATAAGTATTATTTATAGACTCATCACTCCAATGCTATCGCTGCACTGTCATTATTCTTCCCTAATAACCTCCGCAAGCAAATCACAAGTTAAAAACCTGCTGCTCTTAGTCTGTTTTAATTGCAGATTTACTGTGAAACCTGCTGCGCTCCAGCTCTTGAGTCAGGAAGGCGGCTGCATTAGCCAGAGACCGTGCTACAACTATAGAAACAATTAAATCTCTTAGGCTGAAGTGCCCTACAATTAAATGCTGCAACCTCCTTTGCAAGAACCACACTATTTTAGTTTAAATATGACTTTATTGGCAAAAACAGGCACATGAAGTGTTAGTAAAGTGTACAAAGAACCAAGAAATTTGTCCTCCATTTGCAATGTTTCAGCCATCTGCCAAGATGCAGATCCCTAGTGTGTTTGTGGTTTTACTCTCTGTCCATTTGTTGTTAATTTTTAATTCATGACAAGTTAGGGCCCCATGAGATGCTCTCTGTCCTCTAGAGTGATGCAGTTTTCCTCTTTAATAGGAAGCCTTAGAGGTTATGGCTGTTTATCCTGAAGTGCAGGCTGTGCGCCCAGCGCTGCAGAAGACAAAAAAACCCTAATTTCTGCTGTTATTTTTATGACCAGTAGCCACACTCAAGGAACAAGGGCTGGAAGGGACGTCCAGAGGTCATCCAGTGCAACCCCTTTCCTGAGACAGGATCAGCCCCATCCAAACATCCCACGCAATCCATAATCTAAACCAGGGGTTGGCACCGTTTTTCGGCAGAGTGCTAAAAACACCCACAACCTCAACTTGTAAGATGTTGGTGTGACAGGAGCAGATGGCAGGGGAACCATGAGGGGTCCAATCCTGCCCTGGTCCCTTCCCCACCATCTGCCCCGAGCGCATGTGCCAAGCAAAATGCCTTTGCAAAATGCCACACTCCAGTACCCATGCTGGGGGTTGCCTACCCCTGATCTAAACTCTACTCAGGATGCCCACCCACACAGACGTGACACCCGAACCTGCCACGCATAACACAGGGAAACCACAGCACCAACATCCTGCTTCTATGAAATGTTGTCAATACAGGCTCAAGACATGGGGGTAGAGGGCCACCGCCCCCTAGTTGGTCCCCATCTGACCAGGGGTTAAGTTCTTTCCTGACCCCAAATGGTCCGGGCACATTTCCCTTTTCTTCTCCTACCCTGCATCTTCCTTCCCCCCCACCTTTTTTTTTCTATCCTCTCCCCACTTAATTTTTTTGTGACAGATGTGTGCATAGTTCATACACAGTTGATACATATGTGTGTATATGTGTGTGTATGTGTGTAGGTATGTTTGTGCATGCATTTGTGCAAGTCTGTGTGCATGTTTGTGTGCACGTGCATTTGTCTGCATGTATGTGCATGCTTATGTCTGTGTGCATGTGTGTGCTAATGTGTGTGCGCACTATGCATGTGCGTGTCCATGCTTGTGTGTGTGTTGGTATGCTATGTGTGTGTGCTTGTGCATACTTTTGTGTGCCTGCACGTGTATGTGCGCATGTGCTGGCTTGTATGTATGCATGTGTGTTGTGTGTGCATGTGCATGCATATGTCTGCATGTGTGCTCTGTGTGCATACTAATGTGCATCTGCATGTGTGCTGTGTGTGTGCATGTGTGCTGTGTGTGCATGTGCATGCTAATGTGTGTCTGCATGTGCGTGGTTATGTGTGTACTATGTGTGTGCATGTGCATGCTAGTGTGTCTGTGTATGCTGTGTGTGTGTGTGCATGCTAATGTGTGTGGTTATGTGTGTGCTGTGTGTGCATGTGCATGCTAGTGTGTGTGTGCATGTGTGGTTATATGTGTACTATGTGTGTGCATGTGCATGCTAATGTCTGTGTATGCTATGTGTGTTTGTGCATGCTAATGTGTGTGTGCATGTGCGTGGTTATGTGTGTGTGCACGGGTGCGTGCTTATGTGTGCATCTGCATGTGTGCTATGCGTGCGTGTGCATGCTAATATGTCTGTGTATGCTGTGTGTGTATGTGTGCGCATGCTAATGTGTCTGTATGTGTGCGTGTGCATGCTGTGTGCTATGTGCGTGCACGTGCGCGTGCTAACGTGTGCGTGCACCGCTGCAAACCCCGCCCCCACGCAGAGCCCGGGGCTTTGGTGACGGGGCGCGCTCCGGGCGGGGCTGCTGGGGGCGGCGCCGGACTACGGCTCCCAGGCAGCGGCGCGGCGGCGCGGGGGCGCGGGGCACCACCTGCGCCGCAGCACCGGCACCCTGCTCGCCCACGCCCTGCTGCCGCTCGGTGCGCCCCGCGGGGGGACGGGACGGGACGGGACGGGACGGGACGGGAGGGCGCGGGCGGGGGCTGCTGAGGGGGGCAGCACGTGGGCGCTGGTTTCCCAGTCGTGCCACGGCATTATGACAGTCGTGGAAGTAAATATCCACCCTCCTCAGTTGTGGGTCCGGGTCAGTAAGACTCGTGACTGGGGTAGTGCATTAGGAGAGCGCAACCCGTGATGAGACACGCTCCGCCTGGACGTGACCAGAAAAACTCTGGTGACTGGGGTAGTGAATTAGGAGAGCACAACCGGTGATGAGACGCGCTCGGTGGAGATGTGACCATACAGCGCTGGCGGCGGCCTGGATGGTGTGCAGCTGCATTAGGACAGCAGGAGTGATGATGGCTGTTCCGAAGAGCGAAAGGGAGAAAGGAAGGGCAGTTTGGGGAGGTAGTGTGAGGCAGACCACCCTTAAGAGCCACGTGCTTTAATAAAAGGCAGTCGGGTCTCTTAGTAGAGATGATCTCTTTTATTAGTTTTTTGCAAGAAAAAAAAATGTAATTGCAAGTTTTTGGGCACAAACACCCTTCACCAGGCATCTGAGAAAAGATTGTAGAAGTTCTCCTGGGTAGAAATGAAAGTTCATATTTCATAGGATTTCACAGAGGAGTCAATAGATGGAAAACTCCTCTGGGCAGTCTGTTCATAGCTGGTGTGGAGCCTCTCACTTCCCCCGAGGGTCTGTGATGATGCAGATTGCCTTGAAACAAAAGGCGGGAGCAGGAGCTCAGGTGGTCACAGTTGCTTCTTGCTTGGGAAAATACGCAGATTTCATTTAAAAAATGGGCTAAAATTTGATACCTTCCATGTGTCGGGCATCCAGGTTGTAGCCATATTGGTCTACAGGAGAAGGCAGTCAGGACTGGTAGTAGAGAGGATATCTTTTTTAGGCCAAAAAGATGTTTGCAAAAAAAAAAATCTTTAATTGCAAGCTTTCGGGCACAAACACCCTTCATCAGGTAAAGGAGAAAAGATTGTAAAAGTTCTCCTGGGTAGAAATGAAAGTCCATATTTCACACGATATCACAGAGGAGTCAATAGATGGAAAACTCATGTTTCTACCAGGAGTAAGCTATCAAACTGAAAGATGGGGCTGATTCTGTCTCTGGGGCTTGCTGATCCAGTGCATCTCCCTCTGAACTTTAGTGTCCGTAAACCCTGTTGCCTGTGTTTTACTGTACATAACTATCTGAAAGTTTATTTACTCAACAAACTAGAATGATTGTGCTTTCACCATTTAATTTTGGTAAAAAATAAATACTGCTAGAGGTGAAGTCTTATTTAAAAAAACACCACTCGGGTCCAGAGGCTTGGAGTTAGAGTCACTGCTTGTAAGTAAAACAAGTTACCCAGCACAGACCTTGCCTGTCAAATGAACTGTAAGATTAGGGAATATGTGAGTGTGCATTTTATTGCCTTCTGAAAGCAAATGTTTTTCCTTGCAGGTTATTACATTGGCATGTGTTTTGCAGCACCTGAGAAACAGCTTTGCTATTTTTACCTGGCTCCAGAAGGCTGGAAAATATTCTTCTTTCTGGCTGTTGTTTTTCCAACGATCACCAGCATCCTGGCATATTACTGGTCGCAGAACGGTTGGGATAATCATCCTTTAGCCCGGACGCTCGCGGTTCATGCGCTCCCCCAGTCCAGTTGGAGGGCAGTGGCTTCTTCCATCAATACAGAATTCAGGAGGATTGACAAGTTTGCTACTGGCGCCCCTGGAGCAAGGGTGATTGTCACAGATACCTGGGTGATTAAAGTGACCACGTACTGTTTACATGTTGCCCAACAGCAAGACATTCATCTAACGGTGACAGATTCGAGACAGCATGAACTCTCTCCAGATTCAAACATGCCCGTACAGTTCCTCACCATCAACGTTGCCAGCATTAACCCATACGTGAAGGCTTTTGATATCCGGTAAGATAAATTACCCTTGTCCTATTATGTCATGTATCTGTTGTGCAATGATGATCCTGCCTTGTATAGCTCGTCTGTGCTTCCTTGATAAATCCCAAGACTGCTAGCATTTTTCCAGGTCCCTTTTGCTAACTTTCCAGTCTACAGAAGACATTGTCTTCTGGTTCCCACCACTGAAGTGCAGCGAAGAAGAGATTGTTTAGAGGGATCCCTACACTAGAAAAGCAGGTTGGGCAGAGGGACCAAATTTTCTCTTCACAGAATGAAGTAGAGAGACCCTGGGTGAGGGGAAGGAAGCAACTGGAAGAGCTTTGGGTGAGGGATGGGAGAGAAAAGGAATCAAGGGAAAATCTCCTTCCTATCACACACACTGATAAAATGAATGATTTTAACAATATAGGCTCTGAGTTACTGATGATTTCCCTTTCCCTCCTCTCCAAAACCTGACATAGCTGCTCTGAAGGTGTCACACTGACATTTTGCTAACAAAACTCATTTAAAGAGAACTGTTGAAAATGGCTTAGGCCTCAAAACTGACTTCAGATTACAGGTACTCCTCACTTAACGTCATCCGGGTTAACGTTTCGCTATTACATTGCTGATCTATTAGAGAACATACTCCTTTAAAGTCACGCAATGTTCAGTTATAACATTGTTTGGCCGCCGCCTGCTAATAGGTAAATACTAGAGATGTATTAGACTAGACTGATATATCCGATATTAGACCGATACATCGGTCTAATATCGGATCAGCACTGATATAAAGAAAATTTTCTGTATCGGATATCGGCCCAATGCAGCCGATTAATTTGTCCGATAACTGCCCGTGCATGTGCACAGCCGCAGCGCAGCACTCAGGCAGTGAGAAGCAGAGCCAGCAGCGTGCAGAGCTACATGCAGCTCTTAAGTCTGGTGTGGTAGAAGGGGAAGGAGAGAGGGAGGGGGTGTGGGGGTGCAGATCAAGGCCCCCATAGTGAGGGAGGGTGTGGGGCTGGGGCGGGTGTGGGACAAGCGCAGCTCATTGATGGAGCTGCCCC